AGCAGGAAAGTGGGATGACTCCAGTCAAGTCAGCTGAGCTAGAGCACATGACTTTATGGCAGATAAGAATCTGGATGACAAAAGAATACGAAGTCTAGAAACTCAGTGTTATGTTCTGCAATTTAGGTAAAAGAAACAGAATAATCTCTATGTAGAAAAATTCATTGCGGTCATCACCTATTTAACTCTGCTCCCACAACCCTTTTCCCCCCTTCTAATCTTCAACTTAGGAAATGAACTGCAGGTATGTGGTTCACAGATCAATTTTGAAAATAAAACTCAGGTACTTTTAAATGATTTTGCTAGTGCAAAACTCATATTAAGCAGAACTTGTCATTGCTCTTTCCCACATAAGAATTAGAAAGTCATCACTCACACTGCCTGGTTTTTATATACAGACAGACCAGTTCCACGTGGCACTATATAAATGACAAAACTTACCGTAGTAAAGTATGACAGTTGATTATTGAGGAACTGCTAAAAGTGCATGCTTTTCAAAGAACGAAGAAGGGAAGAGTTGCTATATAACACTACCGCTACCTTGCATGCATACAATCCTTTTCCCCATTAAATCTCAGAACGCTTCATAATAGAAGAAAAAGCATTTTAGAAAAGGGGACTTGTTGTAAATCAAAATAAAAATAACAAAATGACTGGGCAAAGGCCACAGAGTTAATTGGTGGTTAATTGCCAGCCCAGAACTCCCCGCAACCCGCAACGTCGCTTCCGCGCCAGATACCGAAAGCGACGCCATGGGAAGAGGGACAGAGGCTTGCGGTAGCCTTGCAGGATGAGTGAAGACTGTTTAACTGCACCTATTTTTAAGCCCTAATATTTTAAGATTTATTTTTATTCTTCCTACTAACCTCTCTTACGCACTGGCAGTTTCAAACGCTATGCACCCTTTTGGTGCGTTTTTCCAGCAAAACTGAACTGGTCATGTAAGTATTACATTTCAATCAGCACATACTAATTTACCGATAGGTTTCCCCAGGCTAATAAAGAGGAACTGCCTCCTCATTTCCTCCCATCTTTCTAATCCTCTCATCCCGTTAAACAGAAGAAAGTTACAATAGATGCTAATGTATCTCTAAGTATTATTACAGACACAACACACCAGAAGGTTCTGAGCACACGTGAAAAACAAAAGAGTGGAGTCCTAAACGCACCAAGTTCCCTGGTTTCTGACGCTTTACCTCCCAAATTGCACTTGTCCAACAACAACATTTAATATAGTTGACAAAAGAAAAACCGGCTATGCCAGTGAGAGGTTTGATCTTGAAAGGTGGGCAGCGCTTATGGGGCTACCCGGCACCCAACCTGTGCTCCAAGAAGTCCCAAGCCCTTCCTACATCTCAGGGTTAGGCCCAAGGTTCCACTTTACAGTTTTCCAGTTTGTCTCTTCAGATAACTATTGTACCATGAAGATGTAAACAAACATAAAAGTCAAACCCAGAAGCCTGTATTAGACTCGCCATCTGTGCAGCCAGAAATACTGTCTAGCACCTGGGTAAACAGGCCAAACATAAATTCATGGCTACGAAGAGGAACTACTTCACGTCAGACTATTGGCAGATAAAAGGCAAGCACATTATTTTAAGCTTTAGATGTTTGTGGGGGAAGAAGTGATGAAAGAGGAGGAGGGAAAAAGGATGAACAAACATTATCAAAAAGGAAAATGAACCCAAATGCTGCCCCAGAGTTTGAACTGAACCAAGACAGCTCCTCTCATGGCATTCCCTGTTGATAGCTTAACATTTCTTCCGTCCTGTTTTGCGCTTTCGCATACCTCTGAAGTTCGGGGTTAGACCGAGAGCAAAAATACTACACAAGGGGCTGTTCTCCTGGTATCTGCAACCTGACCAAAGCATCAGTCGTCTGAAGTTGTCATAGCAACCCATCAGATCAAATACACACACTCAAAACAGTCCAACTAGTTCAGATAAAGACCAGGTTATCCAATCTAGTCATCCAAGCCTCATCGCTGACTGAGAAGAAGAACCTGTTTTATCATCTCATCTCAGAGTCTCCAGACCTGGTTTATTTTTCCTGATGGCATCTGAAAGCGATGATGCACTCAACAGCTGACTCCCAGTGACTATTAGGATTGTGACACTTTCTTAGTTTACAAAACGTTCATCCTTATCCTTGTGCCTCATTCTGATATACAACTGAACTCCAGATAGATTGCAAAAACAGTACAAACACAAGTCCCACTTCTAGTTGCATATTGAAAGGTTTTGAAATCTGCCGCTGCAGAAATGCAGGGAAAAAAGGAGGAGCTATAAAGCTGTCCTCTTCCGCACCGTCTGCTGACAGTCCAGAGACAAGGCTGCACCTTGCCAGCCACATGCAATCTTCACACTGCTTCCAGGAAACGCCTTTTCAGTTCAACCTGACAGTTCCTAGGAAGGAACAGTAGACGCTTCCTCCACATAAGCGCAGCCAGTTTTTCTTCTTCAAACTTCCAAAGGTACAAGAGCAACTTTAGGCAAGTATTTGCAAACCTGCTATCCACCTACCACCTGGCTAATAAAAGTTAATGGAGGAACACTGGAGTGTTAGTGTAAGAAGTTGTTGACAGCGTATCTGCTTCTGCCACGAGGAGTTTAGTAAGGCTCTCTGGAAACTGAAGCTGTACACAAGTTTAATCATCTTCATAGCTAGGATTATGAAATAGTTTCAATTAATGGCAGATGTGTACTAAAAACATGCAAAGGAGAGCTCTCAGAATCACTACTACTAATCAACTGTTCTTTAAAAAAAAAAAAAACTGTAATTTAAGACCAATTTTTAGACAATCCCTCAGATAATTCTCTAACAGAGTCTTCACTCAATTTTTGTCCCTAGGGTCAGACACTGTCACCTCAATCACAGCAAGTGCTATTCCAGTGCGATTAATGTTAATGGGGAGAAAGGGACCGCTCAGTGTGCGCAAGAGGGGCATAACCAGCTCCCAAACGGATGTAAACATCCCATGCAACATATGGATAAACTGCTAGTACCAAAAAAAAAAAAAAACCCACACACAGGGTGCTCTCTTTCAGCTGTATGCAGTTACCCCAAATCAAACACATCGCTTGCAAATAATGACACTGCCTATGCTCTTAATATGACCACTGATATACACACTTTTTCAGCTTAACTAAGACACCAGCCTGATTGACCTGGCTTATATAAAATACTTAACACATACAATCCATAGGGGAATCTGTGTTGCTGTAGTTACAGCTCTCAGCACTTGCATTACAAAGCCCTATTTCAAAGCTTTATAACTCTTGTGGAACAGGGACAGTCAAGCTTTCTCTTTTAAGGCTGTGTTATTCTTCACTGTTACATGCCCTTAAAAGCTTGAAAATAAAATTTCGTTTCCTATTGACTTTCTCCTTCTCTAGACAGCAAACATTGTATTTTGCTGTAGTTTTAGTGCTCTGCTAGCCAGCAGGCTTTTCCTTTCTATTTATTTCCTTCTTTGAGTACCTGCATCATCATCATCATCAGTTACAAAAGAAGCATCTGCACAAATCTGGCAACAGGACCGTGAACCCCTGCTAGAGGAAGAGCATAACTCCGTGGAGGATAACACAGGCTCCTGT